GATGATGACGACGAAATCATGATTGACACACCACCGACGAAGTTCAACAACAACAAAAACAAAAACAACAACAACAAAATGAAAATCACAAACATCAACAAAGTTGACGATGACGTCATCGTCGGCAGAGAGGAAGATGACAATGACGACGATGATTCTCACAACATAACCGTTGTCACTCCGCTGTCAACTGTTGACTCGCCTCTGGATGGCCACCATAGAAACGTCAGATCGAGTCAGTGGTCATTGTTTGCTTTTTACATGTTAACTTTTTGCTAATTTCACATGTTTCTTTGTTTGATCGTTCATTTGTTTATTCGTTCGTTTGTGTGTTCTTTTATTTGTTAGTTCGTTCGTTTGTTCGTTCGTAACCAAACAAAACGTATATTTTTTTAATGATCCACTCATTCCAACTGTTAAAAGGTACCCCAAAGAACCCAGTAGCATCGGTGCAACGACACGAGTCCCACCTGGGCACACCCCTCTCCACCCTGGACATTGACCAGCAACAGCTCCAATCAACACCCCTCATCAGCGCCCTCATCCGCTCCTACCAGCAGCAGTCACCCTGGCGGGCGAGTTGTGGGGGCCGACTGACGAGGAACTCCACCCCCGCCATGCCCTCCCTGTCCAGCCAACCTGTCCACTCGTCCGAGCATCTTTCGAAGATTTCCGCTTCGGAAAGTTTTAAAAAATTTCGACAACAACATCAGCAGCAGCACCAGCAACTGCAACTACAAAAATTGCAGCAGTTTTCTGCGTCTAACGACGGCAACTTACAATTATTAAATACACCCACTCAAAAACAACAACAACAGCAACAGCAGCAACAACAACAACAACAGCAGCAATTACTAAACTTAAAAACCACCCTACAAAAGCCTCTCAAACAACAAGCCCAACAACAACAAAAGCAACAGCAAGTTCCGCAACAACAAAAACAACAACAGCAACAGCACCACACCGTAACGAAACCAGTCGTCCGCAACAATAGCGCCATC